GTTTCTTTTGTTTTGCTATTGCAGAACTCACTCTGTAGCATGCAGATATGGAATCCATCATCACTGAGAGGTTATCCTCCCCCAAAAGGTTTGCCAACAATTTACTTATAAATAACTTCAGATTGTCACCTTCTTCCCCCTCTTGGATCCCTCTTAATCTTAGAGTGTTATCAGCAAGTTTGAGTTCTAGCATGGCCATGTTATCCAGCATACTTTCTTGCTTATCATTAAAGAGTTGTTGAGCCCCTTCTGTTTTTTCAAGCCTTTTTTTAATAAGTTTCTGCTCAGTGTCCAGTTTGTTCACTTTTGCCTCAGTCTTTTCTTGTCGTTCAGAAATCAGTTTCAGTTCATTGGTAACTACCTCCATTGAGGTCTTAAGTTCCACAAACATAGCTTTAATTTCTGAAAGCGTCTTCTCTTGAGACTGACTTGGTTTTTTTGCCTTCTCTGTCATCACTGTTGACGCTGCAGACGCGTAGGAGGAGATTGGTCCCTTGGGCATCCGCGGTGACCCTTTATCCATAATTGATTGTAGTTTATGAGTGTTTGTTCAAGGTCGCTGCAGCAGTGTTATCTGCCTGAGAGAGATGGAGACATGCTTGAGAAGGGGCGGAAGAGAAGCTGGGTTCAGCCCACCATCTTTTTCAGTTGCATTTTAAGCATTTTAATCATCTTGCCATTTTTTTAAAGAGAAGAAAACAAAGCTCAGTCTGTTTTCTGCTTATATAGATCTTATGTAGATCTGGCCTTTAAGGTTTTGCTGTCTCCTGTCAACCACAGAGCAAGATTTCAAAGATTTACTGTTGTAGCAAACAGCTTAATGGCTCTTCTTGGGAGACACTTAAGGCAATTAAGGATCGTAAACTTTACAAGCAGGAATGTAGAGACAGACTTTGACAGGTTTCCTTCGTGATAACACCACGTGGATAGTGTACTTTAAAAAGCAAATATTGCAGTCTTACTTGAATCTGTTGAATATGTTGGATGTTGAGAGCGTAGCGAAGAGGACAATATCGTGGCGGGAGCTGTCTTCACTTTGAGATCAAACAAAGTGATTTTCTGCAGACCAACTCTCCTTTCTCTGTCTCACCCGAAGATAAGGAATCTGTGAGGAAAAAGTTGCTTTCTCCTCTCACCGCTCACAATTCTTCACGGAGCTCCGGCTCCATGCTGCTGCCTCTCTCCGCTCCCAACCCGGAAGCCATTCCCAACCATTTTTTGACCAGGGACCACTTGACAAGGAACTTGAATAGGGACCACTTTGACCAGGGACCACTTGACCAGGGACCACTTGACAATGGGCTACTTGACCAAGGACCACTTGACAACAAACTACTTGACCAGGGACCACTTGACCAGGGACCACTTGACCAGGGTCCACTTTGACCAGGGACCACTTGACCAGGGACCACTTGACCAAGGACCACTTTGACCAGGGACCACACTCCAACATTAGTACCAAAAGGGATGTGAATCAGGTTAAGAACCACTGTCCTAGAAGCAACGATGACTAAACTGAGCCTGCCATACCTTGGAGATATCATGAGTCAACATCATGAAAAGACAATAATGCTTGGTAATAAACCAACCAAGGAAGCAATTACTTTTACCTGCCAGATCTAGGTAGGGATATCATAGAATCACAGAGCAGTTTGGCAATGGAATCAATTGCCGAGAGTGGTGGTTGAGGTCTTCTTCACTGGACACCTTTAAAAAGAGGCTGGACAATATTTCCAACATTATTTGAAGGGCCTGTAGTTACTTGTCTAGAAGATAATCTTGTGTCTGAACTAGCCTTAGAGTCATCAGTTGAAACATAGAAAGTGAACTGCTGTTATTGAATAGATCTAGTTGTTATTCTTTTGGTCCCCAGCAAGGATTTTTATGTATCCCAGCGGAAAAACAGTTTTCCTTCTTTTTTCACACACAAAGGAAACAGTGATGCCGACAGTCTTCCAGAATAGATTCTTTTCTCACTCTCACCCTTTGCTCCATTTAGAACAAGGCAGGATTTGCCAGGATTAGTGTTTGGGATGTACATTTTCCTTGAGGACATTCCAGAGCTCTCCCCTCTGAATCTCTGGAAGATTCAGTAGAAAACTATGGAGCCAGTTGCCTGATGATTTTTTTTTTTTTTTGCAGGAGTGGCAGGGCATTACATAAACCTCTTCTGGGCTGCGATAGAGAAAAGAAAATGAAGTTCAGATTTGGCCCCAGATATGCTCCATGCAAAGATGGTCTATGGCAAATGTGAGCCTTTTCCTTTAGGGGCACTCTGAATAGCCCTCTCTTTAGCCTTTGGACCACCTGCTTTGTTGGCCAGCCTTGTTTCCTTGGCAGGAAGGTCCTGCAAATTCAGACTGTACTGTTCTCCCACGAAAGGTGCTTTCAGTATTCCCGGCATGCTACCATCTCTTTGCAGCAGTTCTTTCTTGTCAAAAGCAACAACAACAAAGGGAGCTCAAAAGCCCCCTTGTAAGGAAAGGGGAATGTTCTCTGAGGTGATTCAAGGACCTTGTCAGCCCTTCTGAAGGAGGTTTCCTGCAGCTTTGTCTCAGGTTGTTTTGAGGTGGGAGCCAGCGGCAGGGCTAGGTTTCCTCTCTTCAGTGTGGGAAGCGGCATTCTCGTGAAGTTTGCCGCAGATCCTGGCACTTCCCAACACTATCCTAATGGCAGCCTTGGGGCAAAGTAATTAATTCTCCAGCCTTTCACATCAGAAACCAGCTGGCTCTGGTATGGAACGAAACACTTATGATGAAAACCTCTGCATTTGTTTTCTGATCCCGAGTGCCCTTAATTGGGGGTAATTGAGGGTAAACTTACAAAAGATTTTTTATTTTTGTAAGAATGGAGAAACTTTACCACTGTAGATTCGTGCAGGAAACAGGAAGTACTGAGATACCACATTTGGCAGTTCTGAATGTGGCACAGTGAAAACTATAGTGCCTCACAAGAGAAAGGTTTTTTTACAGGTTTTCACCCATCTATTCCACTGTTTTAACAATCTACCCATATTGGGGGTGGTGGGGGGGGGATGACCACTGCATTTAGAAAAGTCAAAGCAGCCTATATTCACCTGTCAAAACTGGATTTGAAAATAGATCTAGTCAGCCCTCCCTCTCTTTATAACCAGATCTACACCACCATATAATGCAGTTTGAATATGTATTATATTGTTAGTATATACCTATATAATGTGGTTGAACTGCATTGAACTGCATTTTATGAGTCTACACTGACAATATAATGCAGGTTTAAACTGTATTATGTGGCAGTGTAGATCCAGCCTATGATCCCTGAAGATATGTACTGTATGTTGGATTAGGGCATAGGCGCACAACCATAAAACTACTATTAATTCAGTGAATTAAGCAATCTTATTATTGACATTAATTAACATCAGTGACAACAAATTAATGTCCTAATGCTTGACATTCAGCCAAATGAAATAATTTTAAATTTAAATTTCATTATCCTCCTTTTTGTCCAAGTTTTTTTGTTTCAAGAAGTCATAATTAACAGGATTTGAAATATCAAAATTTTAAATTAATTTATTGTGGTTAAATGTTAAGCATTAGGAAATTAATTTGTTGTTGCTGATGTTCATCAATGAGAATGATTCATTGAATTAATATTAATAACATCTAAAGTGCTCTTTTCATTATTTTACAGTTGTTTCCCCTGTAATTGTTGTCATGTCAGTGGTGGGAGAGTCCTAAATGCCTTAACATTATCAGATTGGAAAGGCTGCTCTAAAACATGGAGTGCTGTTGGACAATTGTCCAATTAAGTTTTTTCACTGATCTGTGACTTTCTTCTCATATTTCCATCTCCATCTACCATGCCAATGAGATCACTGTTCACTTACTTGTCAAATAACTTGTTTGAATGCTGAACCACAACTTTGGAGACCCTGGTTGGCCATGAAAATCCACTGGCTGACTTTGGACAAGTTACATATTCTCAGTCCCAGAAAACTTATAGAATTGCTATGAGCCTGAAATGACTTGAAGGTAAACAATGATAACAAGTTAGTGAGCAATTATTTGTTGATTTCAGATAGAAGACACTGAAGCAGTGCCAGTTAAGTGATAGGTGACATTTGCATTCAATCATCTTGCTGTCTGCGTTTCATATGACCCATAAAGATTGCAGTAAAGAATCAGGAGGAATGGAAGTACATGATTGCCAAATAGAAGAAAACACTTTCTCTGGAAGCTTGAATTTACTTGTCTTCTGTAGGCAAGCCCTCAAACCTCCTTTCCTATGCCCAGCTCTTGTCATACAAGAAAAACTGCTCAAAATATCCTTAACAAAAGTGTTTGACCCATTGTAGCGGTGGGTGGAAGGAAAGGAAAGGAAAATGCAATATGGAGGTGGAACGATATGGAAGGACAAAGAAGCATGTCACAACAGGAGGAATAGGTGAGAAAACCATTCACTCAATTATTCAAACGTAAGCAAAAAACAACAAACATATCAGTGAGTGCAAAGGGATTAGTTGCAGCCCATCCCAAATAATAAACAATTTAACGAATTAACCAACATCTTCCCAAAGAAATCAAAGTTGAATTTGAAATCTTCTGGTCTGTAATGTCTTTTCTATATTAAAAAGTAAGGAACCCTAAGATAGCTAAGATGTATGGAATGTGCCCTGTTTCTACTTGAGTACTTTTGAGGTGTTCTTTAAGTATCCTTCTTTCCTACACAACTTAAAAACCTTTTTCTCTTGGCTTCTTTCAGGGTGTGGGCAAGTTCTCCAGGCTTCAAGAGGTCAGATTTTGTTGGAAAGTTACCCACTGAATGCCCACTGTGAATGGACTATACATGCCAAACCCGGGTTTGTTGTTGAGTTAAGGTAGGTATGGGAAGATTATTATTACACTGTACCTTCTTTTTGCACTTTGGATATCAGGCTGATATTTCAAAGCTGTGACCCTTTGAAATTTTCATTGAGGTATTTCTCTTCCTCATACCCATCACAATGAATCATCATTTATACTTGAACTATAAAATAGCTTTCTTCCTTTTTCAAAGTCACCTCAGAAACATTAAAAATGATATGTGGAGTCCTCTTCTTGGAATATTGGCTGTTGGGTTATCTTTAGATGTATCTGAACATATCTGAGTTTGCCTTTTGAATAAACATACATTTGGGCAAGTGAAGAGGGGAAAAGTGACCATAGGCACACCCAGCATCTTGTTCTCATTATGGAATGGTCTAGGGCTCAAAGTTTTGCACTCCAGTTTTGGTAAATGCCACTATATGATGTCTTCCCACCAAAAGAAGCAGCAGCATTCATAGTAATCAACTGGAATCACCTTCCCTATCATATTATTAGGTTTGTGACTGAATGCTTGACACTACTGCAAGTTGATTTTCAAAATATTGGAGGCTAATGTCACTTGGACATGCATTGATGTTATTGGTGGTTAGTGGTATTCACTTGAGTATCAGAGATAGTGTGTCCCTAAATCTCAGTCACTGGGAACATAAGCTCATGTCATGTTTATGTGTTTCCTACAAGCATCTGGTTGCCACTATGGGACCATGTGGGCCTTTGGTGTGATCCAATTTAGATCTTATGGTTATATGATTTATTTATATGTCAGAGGATCCTCCACATGTATTTTAGAGGCTGTGCATTTTGGAACAAGGGTAGACAGGTTGGAAAGATGCTTGTACTAAGTCTGGTGTTCCATCTAGCCTAGTATTTGCACTCCCTATGAATTAGCTACCTTAACTGCTAGCGATTGAACTTGGGACCTTTAACATGCAAAACATAGTTAAACACCCCTGTTGCGTCAGCTCCACTGGCTGCCAGTCTGCTACCGAGCACAATTCAAAGTGCTTGCTTTAGTCTATAAATCCCTAAATGGTTCCAGCCCAGCTTACATGACTGAATATATCTCCCTCTATGAGCCAGCTAGAAGGTTAAGATTGTTGGGGGAGGCCCTGTTCTCAGTCCCACCTCCTTTGCAGGTGCGGTTGGTGGGGGTGAGAGACAGGGCCTTCTCAGTGGTGACCTTTTTCTGCAACTTTCTGCAGCACAACAAAGTTATGGATCTATAGATCTTTTCCTAGCTTGAATAATAAACCGAAGGAGCTACAGTTTGGCATATGTTTCCCTATTTCCCGTATTTCAAAATCATTGGCACATACTCCTTTGCTTTAACTGCTCATGGGGAAATGCACCTATGTAGCTCTGTTCAAAATTTAGATTCTGACTAATCTGGGTGCAGGGCAAAGAGGTGGATTCCCATATACCCATTTCCTCACTAGAGAGATGGCTAGGGTCTCATCTTACATATAATGCAAAGTGCAAAATGGCAGACCTCTGCCAATCCGAAGCACAGAAATTTCTCTTCATGTTCTTTCCCATTCAGATGGTTCTATAATGCAAACTGCATTATATGGTAATGTAGATGGGGTCCAGGAACTGGCATCTTACATAAGAGTTTTTGTGTATATCACTTTGAATATGTGGTTCTCCAGACTGAATTATGCCTTCTATTTTCTCACCTCTACTTTATATGTCATCTTATTTCCAATCAGTTCAAGATTGCATACATGGATCCCCTACTTCTCATTTAATCCTCTCAGCAAATCACCTCAAGTTATGCTGACTGGAGTGACTAGGCAATTGAAGAAGTGTGTGTGTGTAGGAGGGGCCAATTCTTCCTTTCCCTGCTCTCCCTCCCATGTCATTCTGACATCCTGACTGCTGATCAGTGACCAGCATGGTCCTGTTGTGCCTACTGGCTGTCTCAATAAGGAAAACAGCTTTCCATGTCAGCATTTGTGAGTTTGCACAGCACCAACGTTATTTATAAATGGAGTCCCTCAAATTTGCCATCTGTTTTTTTTCCCCTTTTTGCCTCTCTGTTTCTCTATGTCTAAGGTTTGCAATGCTAAGTCTGGAATTTGACTACATGTGCCAGTATGACTATGTGGAGATTCGCGATGGGGACAGTGTTGACAGCAGAATCATTAAGCGTTTCTGTGGGAATGACAGACCTCCTCCAATCCGAAGCACGGGAACTTCACTTCATGTTCTTTTCCATTCGGATGGTTCTAAGAACTTTGATGGGTTTCATGCCATCTTTGAGGAAATTACAGGTAAAGAAGACTTTTAAAAGGAGAGGAGTGTTTTTTTCCCAACCACAATATCATGATCTCATGCCTTTATTCTTTTTTGAGCCATAAAATGTGTAGTAATAATAATAATAATAATAATAATAATAATAATAATAATAACAATAATAATAATAATTTTATTACCTACCTCTCCAACAATGGCATGTGGCAGCTAAAAAAGCCAATGAGATTTTGGCCTGCATAAATAGGAACACAGTGTCTAGATCAGGGGTCCACAAACTTTTTAAACAGAGGGCAGGGTCACAGTCCCTCAAACTGTTGGCGGTCCGGATTATAATTCGCAAAAAACACGAATGAATTCCTATGCACACTGCACATATCTTCTTTGAAGTGCAAAAAACATTTTAAAACAATACAATAATTAAAATTAAGAACAATTTTAACAAATATAAACTTATTAGTATTTCAATGGAAACTGTGGGCCTGCTTTTGGCTGATGAGATAGAATTGTTGTTATTGTGTGCTTTCAAGTAGTTTCATACTTAGGTTGACCCTGAGCGAGGGCCGGGTAAATGTCCTTGGAGGGCTGCATCCGGGCCCCGGGCCTTAGTTTGAGGACCCCTGATCTAGATAAAGGGAAGACATGCTACTCCTCTATTCTTCCTTGGTCAGACCACACCTGGAATCACACTGTGTCCAATTCTGGGCACCCTAAGTGAAGGGAGATGTTGACAGGCTGGAATGTGTCCAGAGAAATGTGACTAAAATGTCCAAGGGTCTGGAAACAAGCCGTATGAAAAGAAACTTAAAGAGCTGGGTATGTTTAGCCTGCAGAAGAGAAGGCTGAGGGGAGACATGATGGCCATGTATAAATATGTGAGAGGAAGTCATACGGAGGAGGGAGCAAGCTTGTTTTCTGCTGCCCTGGAGACTAGGACGTGGAACAATGGCTTCTATCACAGCTGTAAGGGGTTGTGGGTCTACAGAAAAAGATGCCTGTAATAAATCTTCTTGGCAAAATGTGTGTACTCCTATGTATGGGCATCAAGTGAATCTACTAGAAGGCATTTCCTCCCTGAGGAGGACACAGGGAACAGTAGTCATTCATGGGGCTTTCTGTCCAGGAATGTTTGCAAGCAACCAAAGCTTCCCAGCTACAGGACTAGCAATTTGATTGCATGAAAACTCCACCCCCCTGATTCAACTTATAAAAGATAGCTCCAAACTACAGGAAAAGAGATTCTACCAGAACATTAGGAAGAACTTCCTTACTGTGAAAGCTGTTCAGCAGTGGAACTCTCTGCCCCGAAGTGTACTGGAGGCTCTTTCTTTGGAGGCTTTTGAACGGAGGCTGGATGGCCACCTGTTGGGGGTGCTTTGAATGATATTTTCCTGCTTATTGGCAGGGGGCTAGACTAAATGGCCCACGAGGTCTCTTCCAACTCTATGATTCTGTGATTCTATGATTCCATAATATGTTATGAATATTGAAGTCTCTTCTCTCAGATGCAATCCAATAAACTATACTCCTTCAAACTAGATACCTTACCCAATTTGATTAAGTCAAACTGGTTGATCCAAAAATGATATAAAAAATGGGAAACCATAGACCTCCAGATTATAGTTGGGCCTCTATGTTCCATCAGCCTTAGTTACCATGTATAATATGCTCAGGGATTATGGTGTCCCTAAACATCTGGAGGGTCACAATTGCCACCCATCCCATACTACATCTTTCCTTGTTATTGCGTAAATTACAAACAGTACCATCACAGTGGCTGCTTGAAGTAGCTTTGTATTAATTTAAAGGCTTATTTAAAAAAAAAACACACACACACAAAAGTCAGCGGCATGAAATTGAACTTGGTGTGGGGTATGCAGCAGTAAGGCCTCCCTCACTCATGGGACTAACATATTCTGTCCAGAGAAGGATGAATGGATGTTGTTTCCTCTGCTCAGCAGGAGCCATTTAGTATTCCACTGCTGCCACCTACTTTTCTTTCCGCCCCATTTTTAGCTGCAATTATTTGGAGATCGGGTGGTTGCTATTGAGTTAATCTATGCAGAGTGGGATACGGAGGGCTTACAGTTTCATAAGGAAGCTTTATTGAGTGCCTTATTGTGAGTCTGTCCCAGCCTAATGTGCAAGTGGAAATGAAAAGCTTTTAAAACTCTCTTTTTTGCAAAGCATTAACCTGGCCGGTGACACTGTTTATGAGAAAGAATGTGATTTGCATGGGGAGTAAAGAGGGTGGAAAGCTGTGGGATGGAGACCTCTGGCAGCACAAATTCAGCAAGATACAGTGGTGTGAAATCCGTTAAAAAACAAAAACACAAGAGGTACAAGATTTTTTTAAAAAGCAATCCTTAAGGAGTAGCTGAGATCAGTATAACAAGATGAATAGAGATTTCTTGGCTGTTCTAATGTGTTTATTGTCAAGGATGGGATTTAAGAACTTAAAAATTGTGTTGTGGCCCAGAATGGAATGGTGGTTTTGAAAGAATATAGCCCTAAGTGTTCTGGCTAAAGGTCCATTGGAAGTAAAGGGAAATAACAAAAAAATGGGATTCCGTTCATCCCTGTATATAACAGAGATTGTTTATGATCTTTATGTTTATGTTGTTGGAGTAAAACTGCCATTATCCTTTCCAAGTTATTATGGGGTTTTTTTTCATGTCAGGAGTGACTTGAGAAACTGCAAGTTGCTTCAGGTGTGAGAGAATTGGCCATCTGCAAGGACATTGCCCAAGGGACGCCTCAATGTTTTGATGTTTTACAATCCTTGTGGGAGGCTTCTCTCATTTCCCCGCATGGAGAACTAGAGCTGACAGAGGTAGCTCATCCGCATTCTCCTCGAATTCGAACCTCTGACCTATTAGTCTTCAGTCCTGCCGGCACAAGGGTTTAACCCATTGTGCCACCAGGGGCTCCTAGTTATTATGATGACTGGGAGACATTTCACACTACACAAATATAGTGCTATGGTACAACCCCTGTATCCATGGGGGATATGTTCCAAGACTCCTTGTGGATACCTGAAACTGTGAATGATAGCAAGTCCTATATTTTTCCTACACTTGTGCCAGAAATACCATAGAATTGCACTAGAAGACCTAGAGAGGTCCAGAAACATTTCCTGGGTGCATGAAGAGATTTTTTTTTTGCAGTGTAAATGAAACCATGGTTATCAAGACTGCAAACAAAGAAATCCTACTGTATATTCCACTTTCACTACCATGGCAACATACTATGGAATTCTGGGATTTGTAGACTGGTGAAGCCTTCTGATGAGACTCCTAAATATTCTTATTTGAACTGTAAATTTCAGGATCCATAGGATATTGGCATGGCAATTCAAGCAGAATCATAGCACTATAATTGCAAAGAGGTGAAAGACCCCAGAGCTGCTGGGAATTGCAACACCTATCAGCTTGCAAGATTCTTTATGATACTGTATATCTGAGATCTTTTTACTCTGACACTTTTATTGCATGGCTCTTTGTGCTGGCATCACCTTAATTAAGCACCTTTTCAAAAAGCTTGCTGTGCACCTAGATCTTTTCACTGACATTTCACAGGCATTTGATCTCTGTAGGCCCTTTTGCTGTAATTGCAACTCTGAGTTGTACATTTTTCTTTTTTCTGACTTCTTTCCTGCAGTTTTATTTCAAATCTCCTAAATTCATACTGGGGCAGGTCATGGCTGTGTCACAAATCTCTCTTTTCAAAAAATATGTCTGGGCAGCTAGGTTCCCCAGGGAGCACAAAGCGAAGGAACATTAGACAACATATATGAAAATCATAGTGGTGTTTACTGACTGGTTTTTGTTCTTAAGTTAGATACTAGAAAATATTAGATTACTCAGTGCTGAATCACTATTTCACTATTTCTGCTACCCACTTCTTTGTCTACATTGTAGAATCAATGCAGTTTGACAACACATGAACTGCCATGGCTAAATGCTATCTGGTCGTGGGAGTTGTACTTTTGCTCTTTGATAGCCACCTCTCTGGTTTTGCTTCATCAAACTACAGTTCTTATGGTTCCATAGCATTGAGCCATGAGAGTTAAAATGATGTTGAATTCCATTAATTTAACAATGTAAATATACGATCAGTCTCAACAGCACTACTAGATTCTTTATTTATTTATTTATTTCATCTACTTATACCCCGCCCTTCTCACCCCGAGGGGGACTCAGGGCGGCTTACAGGAAAGGCACAATTAGATGCCCAAAACACACAACAAACAATACAAAATATAACAATTCAACAATTAAAACAAAACATCAATACCTAATAAAATCATAAAAACTATCTCATGTCAGAGTCCATATATCAGAGTCCATATATCCATTCCATTCCATTGTCCTTGTCTATCGACAGGTCCTTTAGTTAGTTGTCAGCATGGCCAAAAGCTTGGTCCCACATCCAGGTCTTTAGTTTTTTCCTAAACGCTAGAAGGGAAGTCGCCGATCTGATCTCCCCGGGGAGTGAGTTCCACAGGTGGGGGGCCACCACTGAGAAGGCCCTGCTCCTCGTCCCCGCCAGCCTCACTTGTGCCACTGGCGGGGTCGAGAGCAGGGCCTCCCCAGAAGATCTTAAACTTCGAGGTGGGATGTAGAGGGAGGTCCGTT